CTGTCCATTAGAAATGTAATGAGACTATGGTGAGTGCTGTGAAGTGTGTAAACCTGGCAATTCACAGACCTGGACCCCTGGGGCGAATAATACATTATATGTTTATTTAAAAAATTTTAAAAATTAAATTAAAAAAAGAAATGCAATGAGAGTTACATATTCAATATCAAACTTTCTAGTAGCCACTTTACAAAAAGTAATAAAAAACAGTGAAATTAATAATATATTTTAAAAACTCAACATATCCAAAATATTGCCAATTAACCATCAATCAATATAAAAAGATTAATTAGATTATATATATTCATATATATAATTTTAAATATATATAATACATATATGTTTTACAAGGTCTTCAAAATTCCGTGGTTTCCTACTTATATCTCAGGACTGGCCATATTACAAGTGGTCAATGGCCACCTGTGGCAGGTGGTGACTATATTGGACAGCACGGTCCTCTGGAGAAAGGGGCCATGTGCTGTTTTCTGTGTCCCCAGGACATAGTAGGTGTTCCATAAATATGTGTTGAATAAATAATATCTCCTAACACCTACCTCAGCTTTATTATTACATAACATTATTATGTTTCTAGAGAACATGATGGATACAACTACATTTATCTCAAAGTCAAGTGTTTTAGACAATTTAGAGTAACTGAGTTTATGTCATATCCAAAGAGCAGACACTTTTCTCCACAATATTGAGCCTGTACTTATTTTCATTATTTGTTTCCAGTACTGGAATATCGCTCTCTAGAACCACTGGTATTCAATTCATTGATTTTTTTAAAAAAAGATTTATTTATTTGAGAGAAAGAGAGAGAGCACGGGGGCACATGCGCCATTGGCGGGGGGAGGAGCCGAGGGGGAGGGAGAGAGTTTCAAGCAAACTCCGCACTGAATGCAGAGCCCAATGAGGGGGTCTTTCAGATCACCCTGAGATCAGACCTGAGCCCAAACCACGAATCAGAGGCTTAACTGACTGCACCGCCCAGGCATTGATCTTTATTTGCTATAATCTGTTTATGTATTTGAAAAGCATTTATTTACTACTGTGCTAGCATCTGGAGGAGAGGAGGGTTTATATAACAAAGAGTCAATGAACCACAAGCCCTTGGCATTTCTATATGGGGGGAGCTGTAGTTTGTACATAATATTATAGGGAAATAATGGAGAGGCCTGCTTCCTGTGAGGATAAATTAACACGTGTTCTTGATTCCCAGCTCTAAAAACCAACCCTGGAGAAGCCGTGGAGGGTAACTCTGGGAAATCCCTAGTGCCACTGTCTATTGTTTTAGTGTGACTCGCTGGCTGTGAGAAGATTCATCAGAGGCAGTCTGCCCCTGCTTTTCCCTGGTGTTCCCTTGAACAATTATTGCCTGCCGCATAATGCAAAATACAGGGGCAAGATCCTGATTGCTCATACAGCAGTGGAGGGTTGGGGAGAAAGTCTAGGTTGAAATGCCGGCTGGAGCCGGGAGGGGTAGGACAATAGATGCACCTGAGGCCCAGCATCATTCACTGTTCCGTATTCTGTCTCCCAGCGCCAGGGAGAGAGAGGCCTGGCCCCTCCCACCTGAGCTGTCACCAATAAGGTGACACCAAAAGGGTGGTAACTGGCTTTGTGTTGTCCTAGAACTTGGGTCCTTCTCTCTCTTTACATTCATGAGACTGACATAGATGGGCACCCAAAGGCCAGATATGTAACTCCTTCTCTTTGGCAAGTTTCACAATTGGAAAGAAAAACAACAAATGGTCCTGTATGTGTCCTTAGAGAAGTACCAGAAAATAGAGACTAGCCCCTTAAAATGAGCATGAAAAATGCATTAAAAAATAAGAAAAGTTATTATAATATGAGAAAAGATAGGGAATACAGGGAAAGCTACAAAGAAGTTCCAGGCATGAAAAAAATATGAAAGTCAAAATAAAAATCCTACCAATGGGAATAAATAGTGGGAGAGATACAACTAAGTGGGAAGACTACACTGAAGGACTTTCCTGGAGTAAAAGATACAAGGAGGAAGAAATTGAAATAGAGAAGTCAAAAGAGACTGGGGAGAGAAATGCCCAAGTAGGGATAATAGGAATTTCATAAAGAGAAAAAAAATTAAAGAAGAAGAGAAACATTTACATTTACAGAAATAGAGAATTACAGAATCCCCAGAATGAAAAGATACAGGGGATCCATAATGTCCTATAGCAAGAGAAGGAAAACCCATTTTAGATACAATATTTACAAATTGTAAATTTAGATACAAATTTGGATACAAATTTAAATGTAACTTTAGATAAAATTTTAGATACAAATTTCAAAGGTCAAAGGCAATGAGAAAATTGTAAGATTCCCGAGAGGAAGACTGATATCAGATTTCCTAACTACAGCACTGGATGCAAGAAGATATTGGGATGATATTACTTAAAATATTAACGAAAAAACAACTGTGGTGGGGTGGGGCCCCAGGCGCTCCCTGGAGCCAGAGGCCACTGCACCTGAGCCCAGCGAGAACGCCAAAGGCAAGGTTCTTTTTAATTTTTTTTCTAGCCCTTTACTCCCAGGAATTTTAGACGTTGAAAACACTCCCTATGCGCAGGATTTGATATTGTATGGGTCGTTAAGATCTGCTGTGGTTGGCCTCGGACATTCTTTGTTAACTGGCTACGCGTGAGTCGGAGGATTTATCTTGGTGACTTGAGGATGCTTGTTCTGTGGGTATAATTACGCAAAGCTAAGACACCAGGAAAGAATTGTCAGAGAAAGAATTAAAAATCAGATTTTATATGAAAACACCCACCTTGATCCTGAAAGAAAACAAACCAAGGGCAATGGGAGCAACTAAGCAGGCGTCAAGCACAGAAAACCCAATCTCCACTCACGGAAGTCAGTGTGAACAGAACCGAAGTCAACTCCACTAAACCCTTCAATCAAGTAGATAAAGTGTGTGTTGTAAAAAAAAAAAAAAAAAAGGGAAAAAAGAAAGAAAGAAAGAGAAAAAAGAAAAGAAAGAAAGGAAAAGAAAAAAAACTTTAAACTTAGAATTTATTTATTTTTTAAAAGGATTTTATTTATTTATTTATTTGAGAGAGAGAGTAGCGGGAGGAGCAGCCAGGGAGGAAAGGAGAATCTCAAGCAGGTTCCTCACTGAGCGTGAGCGGGATGCGGAGCTATCTCAGGACCGTGAGATCGTGACCTGAGCTGAAAAGCAAAAGTCCAGCGTTTAACCATCAGAACCACCCAGGAGCCCCTAAACATAGAAATTAATACATAACTAAACATTATTCAAGAGTGATGCTATAACAAAAATATTCTCAGGTAAACAAAGCTTCAGAAGATTTGCCACACAAATACTCAAGACATTTTTGGAAAAAGTATTCCAATAAGAGAAAAAAGTGTCAGGAGGTGCCAAAAAGGAGGAGAAGTAAAGTTGATCAACACCTTGGTGAAGAAGAGAGGGAGGGAGTAAATGAATAACTTGAAAGCATACTAAAGTTCGGATCTGGTTAGAGGAAAGATCGGTAAGGCACAGAGAATAGTTTGTTGGTTTTTTTTAAGACAATGAAGAAAAGGAAACTTGAAAAACAGAAATATTGAAATAAATAAAATATTAGAGACAATCCAAATATGTCAATAATCACAATAAATACAGCTGGGAGGGGCAAAGACGGTGCTATGTCCTTGCCAGACCAGAACATCTTCCTGAACACACAGCTAAAATTCATTTTTCCAGCCCTGTTGTACTCAGGCAGGGTCATTGTTTAATTCTTGCCAATGGAATGTGGTAGAAATGGCATGTGGTTTCTGGTCCAAATCTGTAGATTGTAAGATCCTTCCACAGACTCTCTTCTGGAAGCATAGTTCTTTTCAGCTGTGATGGTGCTCACTTAGGGAGCATGCTACTAACCCAGGTCTCCCAGTTCTACCCTTGAAAAGGCTGCTTTAACTCAGGTCAGGATGGAACCCAGGAATCTGTATTTTTTAAAAATTTATTTTATTTTTTAAGAAAGCGAGAAGGGGGAGGGGCAGAGGGAGAGGGAGAGAAATCCCAAGGAGGCTCTGTGCTCAGCATGACTCAGGGCTTGATCTCATGACCCTGAGATCATCATCTGAGCCAAAATCAAGTCAGATGTTTAACCAACTGAGCCACCCAGGTGCCCCAGGAATCTCCCCAGATGATTCTTCTGTGTAACCAGATTTGGAACCATAGACTCAGATGATGTCTTGGTTCCCTTCCAAGCTGAAAATCATTTATTTCATGATCTTTCAGATATTTGGTTAGACTTTTCCTTATCTGGAGAGATGGTTAGCTTTGTATATATTTTTCGTATTGGACCAAATTCTGCCCCTGCCTCCCATCGGCTGAACCCAACCAGAAACTGTAGGGTAGGGAGATGCTGTCCACATGGGTCAGCCTGCAGGCAGCACGGAGAAGGGTGCCCCGGGGGCCCGGAGGGACAAATGGAGGTTATCCTGCACCCTCTGCCCTCCTTAGAACAGTCCACCGAGGCTCCTTACAGTTCTTCCTTATTCTGAACATCTCTCACAATTACACATTTTTTTTCTAACACAATGAAATAAAGTAATGTTTTCCAAAGTTATTTAAAGGGTTTTTTTTTAAAGGATTTTAATTCACTGTGTATCCATGATCTCCTTTTTAAAGTTTCTAAGTACAGTTTATATTATTATTTGTCTTCAAATCTGTCTACAGAAACTTATAGGGAGACTGGGATTCTCTACACTCCAGACCAAGATAGAGGTTTTGTTTGAGCTCGGTTGTGTGGTTCTCTGATGGCCTTTTCTCTCCCTTCAGGGGGCCTCTTCTTGGAGTTTGTAGTAATGGCTGATTTAAGCCCCTGCCACCTCACAAACAGAAACCTCCTCTTGACTCTCCTGTGGGCCCGGCTTCCTTGGTGCAATGAGGATCCAGCTCATTCTTTTACCTTCCACCTAGGCTCCTTACTTCTTTACCCAGCAACAGCTGCACGAACTCAGAGAATGTCTCTGATTGGCTGAATATAGCAGGGGTCTTCCCCATCCTAGAATCTGTTTCCTTCCTCTTTCTGTTTACCTCCTCCACCGGCCCCACACTGAGAATTACTTAGTTAAAGCACCAGGGCAATGGTCGTCAGTGGGGGGCTAGTCCTGGGACTCTACACCTTGATGAGCCTCCTGAGCCCCCAGGAAACTGGGGCTATCAAGGGTGAGTGCTGGGAGGGATTGGGTGAGGAGAGGAGATTTAGGGTTACGTGAGAGATGGTATAGAACATAAATTATTCCTCTCTGGTTTATGGGCAACTTCCTTTACCAAGAGAACCCCAATCTCTCTCATGTCTATCATGTCCATTGCAGACCTAAAATATACAGGTGCAGCCCAGTCCAGCCATGCCAGCTGCAGGTTCAAACTTTTCTAGGTTCGGGTGCCTCCCCAGTTCCTTCCTTCCTTATGAGACCCAGACCTCCATTCTACTGCTGCCCAGCACAGTGATTTCTCTGACACTTCCTGGCTTGGAGTGTGTCCATTCAAATCCGGTTTTATTGCAGTATTTATCACCATGTGGATAGTTAACTGTTTATCTGCCTTTTCCTGCTCTAGACATGAGCTCCTTGTGTGAGGGACCTACAGCCAGGTCATCTGTATTTCCCTGGGGCCTAGCATCATGCTGGGCACATAGTAGTCCCTTAATGGCTGTTGAACATACAATTTCATAGAATTCTAAAGGTCCCTTACCAATTAAAATCTAACCCAAATTTCCAACAAAAACTGAGCCTCAGTTATGGAAACAGACATGTTTGATCATAATCTGAGGTGAAAGAGTTGGGGCATAAACTTGACTTGAACTTCGGGCTCCTTTTCCAGTGCTCTCTGTCATACCTCAGGCTGCCTTTTCCTATCTGGTTGGTCTCTGTCACAGATCTTAATTCTTACTTCTGTCGGCCATCACCTCTTCTCCCCTCGTGCCTACCCACACTGTGTCTCTGTGCCCCAGGCTCCATTATGCTCCCATCCTTAATCATCTTCCCTCATCCCCCCCCCACCGCCACCCACCACTCATCTCACACACAGGACCTCATAGGACAACTAGAGCTTACAACCATGGCTAACATTCAACTTTGGGGATCCCAAGCATGATTCCAGGTGGCCTCTCTTCTTCCCGACCTGGTATGCCACACCGCGCTCATGTCTCTGTTCCTGTCATTGTGTTGGGCCTGGGCCTGTTTCCCTCTGTCCTCTCCCTTCTACTTCCCAGCAACCTTTCCACTGTCCAAGAACCAGCTCAACAAGTCAACTCTGTCCCCACAGAGAACCCAGCCTGGGGCATAGGCTCAGAGATTCAACATATCACATGCTCTCAATGAGACTGATACCTTTTCTTTTCTGTCTCTGACCCTGAACTCATCGGATTCAGCTGATCACATGGGCTCCTATGGACCAGCCTTCTACCAGTCTTATGGTGCCTCGGGTCAGTTTGCTTATGAATTTGATGGGGAACAGCTGTTCTCTGTGGAGCTGAAGAAGAAGGAGGCTGTGTGGCGTTTGCCTGAGTTTGGCAATTTGGCCCACTTTGACCCACAGAACGGGCTGGCCAGCATCGCGGTGATCAAAGCCCATCTGGATGTCTTGGTGGAACGCTCCAACCGCACCAGAGCCACCAACGGTATCTGCCTTTCCTCTCCTCGTGCCCTCCCCTCCCCTGTGTTAGGCAGGGGAGGTCCAGAGAAGCTTCTTCCCACCTCACAGGCCCCCATCTACTCTGGCACACCCCTCTCTCAGCCTCTGTGACTGTTGTATTCAGCCCCTTTCTTTTCCAGGAGGCTCTAGAACTTCCCAGACCCTTTCAGCACCCTCTTCCTCCTCTTCCCTCTTGAGGACTGACACTTTCACCTGGACACCCCCTCAGGGACCTGTCAGACATAGGAGTCCCTGGTGCCCCCATGACCCTCCTCAGCCTCTTTTCCCTCTGCCCCCCACCCCCACCCCGGCTGTTACGTCCCAGAGCATCCCCTGCCTGCAAATGCCTAAATAGGAGGAAACGTCCCTCAATCCCAGTCCTAATCAGGCACAGCTGCAGGGATGAGCCTTTGGGATCAGGGCCTCATTCTTCCTAGTGCCTCCGAGAGTGACGGTACTCCCCAGGTTCCGAGTGGAGCTGGGGCAGCCCAACGTCCTCATCTGCATGGTGGACAACATCTTCCCTCCTGTGATCAATATCACCTGGCTGCGCAACGGTCAAATAATCATCGAGGGGGTGGCCCAGACCAGCTTCTATTCCCAGCCCGACCATCTGTTCCGCAAGTTCTGCTACCTGACCTTCGTGCCCTCTGCAGACGACATGTACGACTGCAAGGTGGAGCACTGGGGCCTGGATGAACCGCTTCTGAAACACTGGGGTAGGAGCCCCTCCCCAGCTCACTCTCCACAGACCCATGTTTCCTTTACTCTGGAATCCTTTCACCGACCCTTCCTTTCTCCCCCAAGAGCCCCAGGTGCCTATCCCAGTGCCAGACACCACCGAGACTCTGATCTGCGCCCTCGGCCTGGCTCTCGGCCTGCTGGGCTTCCTTGTGGGCACCCTCCTCATCATCAGAGGCACGTGCTTGTCCAGAGCCCGCAGGTACAGCGGCTGCGGGCTTCTGGGGGCAGGAGAGTGGGCGGCTCTGAACAGGATGGGGTGAAGGATCATTCCTTGGGGAGCACTGGGGTCAGGGAAGGGTAACATAGACAAGTAGCAGAGAGAATAGAAGAGCAGAGGTGATGAGGGGGTGAGGTTTTGGGAAGGTGGGCGATCAGAGATAGGATCCCAGCATTGTGAGCTCGAACAACCTTGTTCATATGCTTTTTACCACTTTAGGTAATGAACCTTCCGAGAACGAAAGATTGTGGGAGATGCTCTATGGATTCCTTGCAAGTTTCTGACAGCCCTTGCATACTCAGTGCTTCTGTCTACTAAGTATATCCCTACGGTGCTGACTTTGGATGGGATCAAACCCTGTGCCATGGGTCTCCTCTCTTAGACCTGGTACTCATCACAGGATTTGTGGGTCAGCAACTAGCTCCCCTTCCCACCCTCAGCGCACGCGCACACCCGCGCACACACAAACACACTCTTTTCTTGCTCTACCCAAAGTTTTGGCTAGCAGCAGTAAATTTTTTATTGGTGTTTGTACTGTATCCTTCCTGCCAGGTCTTGGCCAATTCTCCCAGGGTGTGAGGGGTGCTAGGAACCTAGAAGGGGGAGTTTCAGGTGATGACCATCAAACAGTATTATTTCATACTGGGGATTGGGAGCCACCCTCAGGCCAGTTCAGCCATGTCTTGCTCCACTTGAATAATTCATTGTGTGTTAGTTGTGAATGGGCCATTTCACAAAGACTTCATGAAATTTACCTTCTGAATTTAGATTTACCCCCAAAAGAGTTTTCAGGAGAGGAAAGGTTCACAAGAATTGTACTTTTGTCTATGTTAACGCCATAATGAAGCGGCCATAGGCAAACGGCCATGATCTACGATGTCATCTCCTTTTTCTGCAACCCTTAGAGTCCCAGGCATGACAAAGAGGGGTCCAAGGCTTGGATACGATGGTTACTTCCTTAACCTGGGGTCAGTCATAGCAGTGGAAGACTTGGTCACATGTTTAGAGAGAGTTCAGGTGGATATCTCTTAGCAGTTTTCAAAAATGAAATGTACATGAGAATCACTGGGGAGCCTTTTAAAAAGTGTAGGCTTCACCCAGATCTACTGAATTAGAATCTTGGGGGTTGGGGAGAGTGGTAGCAGTGTGCAATTTTTAACAGGCTCTAGATGATGCTGATGCAGCCACCCTGGACTTAGACTGTGGTCTGATAACTGGGACCCACTGATGTACCCTGATGCTATTGGAAGAGGAGCAATCCCTAAGGTCAGATTGGTCCAGGAAAGCTTTTTGAAGAACCAGTCTTTTCAGGCATAGAGGAAGATACAAGTAAGCAGGGACAAGATGGGGTTTGGCATTGTGAGCGTTTGGTCCTAGAGAAGAAAGAAAGCAAGAGATCACGAAGACACTGGATTTCCCAAAAGAGAATAAGTTCAAAGAATGGCCAGAAGAAGACCCTGATGGAAGTGGGGGAGCATCATCCTACTCAAGGCTTTTGTTTGCCAGTAACAAAACCCTCTTAAAACGATCACAGATATAAGGAGAGGATATTTACAATAAAGACACAGGAGTGGTGTCCTGAATCCAGGAATGGGTTTTAGCCAAGCTTTGCAGGGAACAGAATTCAGAACTGAAAAGCCAGCAGAATCTAGAGCAGCTTTCCTTGTTCTCTCTCTGGGCTACATGGCCTGTGTTGTCCCTCTGCATGTTAGCTGCATTAGCCATATTATTCTGGCTCTGAGGACAATCCTTTTCAGCAACATATCCACCTGCAGCTGTTAAGTTTGTACATTATCTCAGCTCTACCCACCCATCGACACTATCTCCCAGTCACAATTTTAAATTCTTGGAAAAACAAATGAATGCCCAAACTTGGGCATTGGCAGGTGTCCATCCCAGTCTGATATACCATGACCAGAGGCACAAGATCCATAGTACAAACTCCTCTGAGGAGAGGGGTTAGATCATGCTCAGAGAAAAAAGAATGGGTTGGTTCTCAGAAGATATCTAAAGATATGTTTGTCCTCAACATGCCCCGATCTCTGCTGATCTTTTGCTTAAAAGTTAACTTGATCATCCTTGGAAAAGATGCTTCTCTGATCTCTGTCCTGTGTTTAATAATGTCATTAAAAGTGTTTCCTTTGATCAGAAGTGCATTTTTTTCACTATGCGTATATTACACAGAAGTCACTGAAACTTCTAGGAACAGTTCCAAATCTTTTAGGTTTATGTATTTGCCTTCAAAATCACATTTTCTTCTAGTTCCAAGTAAACAGTCTCCCATTAAAAAAATTGTTCTCCTATATTCTTTTTTTTCTTTTTTAAATTTTATTAAAAATTCGCTAGTTAACATACAATGCAATATTGGTTTCTGGAGTAGAATTCAGTGATTCGTCACTTACATATGACACCCAGTTTCATCATAAGTGCCCTCCTTAATACCCATCACCCATCTAGCCCATCCCCCACATACCTCCCTCCATCAATCCTCAGTTTGTTCCCTATCATTAAGAGTCACTTATGGGGGCACCCGGGTGGCTCAGCTTGTTAAGTGTCTGCCTTATGTTGTTAATTTTAGCCATTCTGACAGGTGTGAGGTGGTATCTCATCATGGTTTTTATTTGTATTTGCCTGATATTCAGTGATGTTGAGTATCTTCATGTGTCTGTTAGTCATCTGGATGTCTTCTTTGGAAAAGTGTCTATTCCTGTCTTCTATCCATTTCTTAACTGGATTATTTATTTTTTGGGTGTTGAGTTTGGTAAATTCTTTACAGATTTGGGATACTAGCCTTTTATCAGATATGTCATTTGCAAATATCTTCTCTCATTTTGAGTGTTGTCTTTCAGTTTTGTCGATTGTTTCCTTTGCTGTGCAGAAGGTTTTTATCTTGATGAAGTCCCATTAGTTCATTTTTGCTTTTGTTTCCCTTGTCTCCTGTGACTTGTCTAATAAGTTGCTGTGGCTGAGGTCAAAGAAGTTGTTGCTGCCTGTGTTCTCCTCTAGGATTTTGATGGTTTCCTGTCTCACATGTAGGTCTTTCATCCATTTTGAGTCTATTTTTGTGTGTGGTGTAAGAAAGTGGCCCAGTTTCATTCTTCCACATGTTACTGCCTACTTTTTTCAACACCATTTGTTGAAGAGACTGTATTTTTTTCCATTGGATTTTCTTTCCTGCTTTGTTGAAAATTAGTTGACCATAGAGTTGAAGGTCTGTTTCTGGGGTCTCTATTCTGTTCCATTGATCTATGTGTCTGGTTTTTGCCAGTACCATACTGTCTGAATGATTACAGCTTTTTAAAAAAGATTTTATTTATTTATTTAACAGAGATAGACATAGCAAGAGAGGGAACACAAGCAGGAGGAGTGGGAGAGGGAGAAGCAGGCCTCCTGCTGAGCAGAGCAGGGAGCCCAATTCGGGGGAGTGGGGGGCTCAATCCCAGGACCCTGGGATCATGACCTGAGCCCAAGGCAGACGCTTAATGACTGAGCCACCCAGGCATCCTGATGATTACAGCTTTGTAATACAGCTTGAAGTCTGGAATTGTGATGCCTCCAGGTTGTTTTTCTTTTTCAGGAATGCTTTGCCTATTAGGGGTCATTTGTGGTTCCTTACAAATTTTAGGACTGTTTGTTCTAGTTCTGTGAAGAATGCTATATTCTTGATCTGATCTCTTTCTGTGTCTTTTAGAATAGATTTTCAATAGGTACCTCCTCTTCTGTATTTTCAAACTCTCCCTCTTTGCAGGGTTCCCTCTACAAATGATGAGCATATCATATCTCTTATATATGGAGAACATCAAATCTCCTCTTTGTCCTATAATCCAGCATCCCCACCCCTGCAAGTTCCTCCCAGTCATTCTCTCTGAAAGAGTATTCTGCATGGGCAGTCTCCAAATCCTTTTTGTTGATCCTTTCTTTCTCTCTCCCCACACAACACCCTGTGCATGTTGTGTATCATAGAGTACACATACATTGCATCTTCTTACCCCAAGTAATCCCATTTGGTCGATACTAATATCATTCCATTTTTAAATAAGAGGAAACTGAGGCTTGAACAAATTCAGTTACTTGTTCAAAGCAGCATGACTGTGAGTGCCAAAGCAGGGAATAGAATTCAAGTCTGACTCCAAAGGCCATACCCTTCGTGTTTTAACAGGTTTAATGCAGATCAATGAATGACCCACTGCATGAACCAGGAGGAAGCAGAGCAGATATGGACATCCAGAATTTTCAGAAAACTAAGAGCTGAATGCAACTATTCATTTTGACTTCCTAATATTAAGAATGTCCATGTAGTGTTGCAAAAGAAGCTTGAGAAAATACTCAGAGGTCTAATTTATGTTTAATGAAACAGGTCCATTGTAGTCAAGTGACTTGCTACTCCTTTGACTCATTTATGCATCAATCTGTCCAATCAGATACTCAGTGAGCACCTCTTGTAAATGCTTTTGGCCGGGGGTTGGGGCAGGAGTGAAAAGGCCAGACATAGCCTCTACCTCCAAAAGGTTATCTTTAGTGAGGTAAACATACAAACCACTGACAAAAAGCATATTTAGGGGTGCCTGTGGGTTAGCTCAGTGGGTTAAGCCTCTGCCTTCAGCTCAGGTCATGATCCCAGGGTCCTGATATCAAGCCCTGCACCGGGATCTCTGCTCAGCGGGGAACCTGCATCGCCACCCCCCCACCCTCTGCCTGCCTCTCTGCCTGTGATCTCTCTCTCTGTCTCTCTGTGTCAAATAAATGGATAAGGCATGTTTAATGAGAAATATGAGGCCTGCACTTTGTGAGGAGTCCTATGAGGAAAATTAAACAGAATGAAAGATCTGACAGAGAGTGCTTGAAGGAGAGGGCTGGAGTCCTACTTTAGGAAGTGACAGGGAAACCATGATATTATTATTATTATTATTATTTTTAAATATTTTATTTATTTCTTTGACAGACAAAGATCACAAGCAGGCAGAGAGGCAGGCAGAGAGAGGAGGAAGCAGGCTCCCGCTAAGCAGAGAGCCAGATGCGGGCTCCATCCCAGGACCCTGGGATCATGACCTGAGCCCAAGGCAGAGGCTTTAACCCACTGAGCCCCCCAGGCGCCCCGAAACCATGATATTATTAATGAAGACCGACAGGCAGAGCTCTGAGGAATGAGTGATTCAGTAAGAAAGAAGCACAATTATCCCAAGCGCAGAACAGACTCCTGAGCTCACAGAAGGAGAGTTTAGTAATGCTGCTTTACCCAGAACTTTGTTCCTTCCCTTGCACAGGGCTGCAGTTCTGTTCATCTGCTTACTATTTTTTTACTTTCTTTTTGCCTTTTGACCTCCTTCACTCA